TACACACACACGCACACACACGTATATATACTGAATAGTTTGCCCCTGTTGCATTGGTTATACACGCTTCAATTGTATTGCCAATTACTACCATTTGACCTTCTGCCGCAGATTGTACCTATGGGGACTATCCTGCTCGATCGATTCAAGGATGCACATCTGCGCAACACAACTGCGGATGACAGAGAGGCCTTGGACGCGCTTTACGACGAGATCGAGAAAGTGTTACCTACAGACGTGTATGTATCATGATGCATATACAAATACAATACAATGCCACAGAGATATATATATATATATTGTATACATGCAATATTTGTACGCATTTCCGAATTAAGGCGAACATACGCTGATCAGATACCTTTGGTAGTACTTAGTTGTCACGCCTACCAATTCACTGCGAGCATTCTACCATGGATGTCATTTAAAGTTTCAGTAGTAGAATTTTAGGATATCGTCAGACAGATCGTATCAACCACGTGTTAATATACATTTATATATGCATATGTGTATGTATTCATGTACCTGTACGTATTTGTGTATATATGGATGTAATATATGTACATGTGTATATTCATAAGAGTATGCGTTTATGTGTTTTAATTCATGTAAATATGCCTATATGTGTACATATTCATGTAGAAATATGTATATGTACATATATTGATATGGATATACGTATACGTGTATGAATTCATGTAAATTTATGTTTATATGCACATATTCAAATAAATATATGTATATGTATATATATATATGTATTGTGTATTAATGGATGCAAATGGATGTATATGGGTATATATTCAAATAATGACATAAACATATTAGCATGCGACACATTCAAACAACTTCCCCATTCCATCCTACTCTCGTATCATTGCGTCTACAGCGCACAGAGACGCGAATTTGGAGATTTGGTCACATACCAACGGGCACTCAAACTGTCAGGGGGGCGTGTAGAAGTTGAGACACTGTTACAACCTGCACTCAGCGTTGAGTATACGGTTGAGGTTAGTGTTGGGAGTGGCAGTTGTATATACCTTATCCCGTAGGGGAGGTGGGGGGGAAGGGGATTTGTACATGCACACCTAGGTGGAGTATACATTGGTGCATTCAGGATAACATGGGCAGAAACATGGAGCTCACTCTCATGCCCAATCCCACACGCAAAGGAGGTGTTGTAACCATGGTGACGACATCGTCCACATAACACCATAATACCTCGTCTTTATCCTAATCCGTTGTAAGCTGAAAGTTTGCAACCATGATAAGTCGTATTTAACGTTTAACTATCGGAGTTGGGATTGTGGGCTGTTATATCGCAGGCGATGATCTTATCCGTTGTGCAGTTTTTTCTTGGCGGTGAAAAAACTTGGTTTGCGAAGATGTGAAACTATGTTTGCAGTGGGACAAGTCGTGATGGTTACTGTGGGTGTTCTGTAGATAAAGCGTTTAAAATAAGGTACACATTCATAAGGTATGACGGGTTAGGGGTTTTTGGAGGTTTTAGGGTTCTAGGTTTTTGGGCCTGAGAGCATACTTATGCTCACTGGACGATCGAACTCTAGTAGGTAGCATTTCGGCACACCTTACTTTAGGGTACTAGGGTTTATAAAGTGGCAGCCATACAATAGCACTGTGAATGTACAGTACGCATTGCGTGTCTCTTAATACCTGCACCGTGCACTCATATAAATACAAGTATACGTTAATGCCACACTCTATTCATTATACAGTACCACTGTGTTGTCCCCCACTATGCGTTTGCTTTAGGCTACCTTCCAACCGAGTGCTTCGTATAGTGATGCCTGTAGCTCGGCTGTGAGTGGCTTTACCGAAACTATTCACATCAGCATCCAGGAGCGAATTCCAGACCTTACGCTGAATGTCTCCCCGGGTGGCACCAAGTTCCTAGTACAAATGCTTACCATGTTTGGTAGGTGTATGTGTGGACTGGGTGTATATATATGTTGGGAATATGTGCATGTTTATGTGTAGTATAGGATTTTATATATATTGGGCGTAATATGTATGTTTATATGTGGTATAGGTTATATGTCTATGTAGTATATAGGTTCACTATTATGTATGGTATAAGCAGATAAATATTTATGAATGTGTG